AGTGATCTGCTATCGCCCTTATGCTTTGTCTTAGCACTTGCTTTAGACATAGTTGAGCTTATTGTGGACAAAATAACACCAAATAAGACTCACAGGACAGACTGAACGTATACACACACAGCACGCTTGCTGAATGACAGAAAGCTGACTCCGGCTCCGCCGCACGTGCTTTTAAGCTTCCTGGTCTAAGCCCTTCCATTGGACTGATGACACATGTCATTCAGAGCGTGGTCACGCTGGGGGCGTTCCCATAGCGTCTTCGGACGCAGCTCGAGTTCCTGAAGGGAACTGTTTTCTGCTTTCTCGTTATGGGGTATTAGGATATTATGTAAACTAAACATGATCATCATGTGGTCACATTAAAGTAAGGTTAAGAACAAATGCATGTGTGTACATTTACAAACAGAGGGACACTGCCTCACATCAGGAAACAGAAACACGTCCTAACAGAAACAGAAAACAATGCCAGTGTAGCTCATGAAAAAGCACATTTATTTAGGGCATAGTGCTTGTGTTATGTGTTTTAAGTATAATCAAACCCTTAACACACAATGAACTAAATTAATTATTTAATGAATTAATTGATTTATTTATGTAATTATTTAATTGTTTTCATTAGAGCTGTCTATAAAAACCAGCAGGCAAGAGTAGTGTTATCAGTCAGGAGAAGGAGGTGGATTTAATTCTATCGTAAGCTCATTTTGTTATTTTTAAGGTATGATGTGATTTGTAGGTTAGTACTGAATGTTTTTACACATTTTTTAAAAACTATATAGCCATCTGTGTTAAAGGGAAGTTATATTTTGTTTAACCCACAACATCTGGCCCTGAAGTCTTTATTTTTTTATAGTAAAATGTTGTGGGATTTCATGTCACATGATTAACTGGGCAATCAGAAGTGGTTCATGGGTTCACTTTGAGACCAACACCCCCTAGTGGTGAACCATCGGAGTTTCAGAACAGTGTGATGTAAAGAAGCTTTGTTTGCTAAAATCACGTGACCTGGCCGGTTTTATACGTGCTCCGAAACACTGCATTGAAACAAAAGATTCACAAATGTTTCAAAGCTTTGTGAAGCAGTGTTTCGAACGCGCCCATCACTAGTTTCCAGTCTTCATCCTGCTTGTCCGCTATGCTAACCAGTACCTGCAAAGACAAAATAAAAGTGTCCAAGACTTTAACTGAACTTCATACTTACCTGCTTGCATCGCTTTTTCTGAACTGTCTGTCAATAAAGATATAGTTGTTGATGTTACTGCGTTGTCATTCTCTTGGTCTTCACATTACATGGATTTTGAGTCTTCACGGCTGGCTTGTAAGCCACAACAATAAGGGAGGGTTCAGTATTAGTAGACTGTTAGATTAGGGTTAAGGTTAATAGAACAAGTTGACATGTATTTGCAAAGTTACTTAGTAGAATGTCTAAAGTATACTATCAAAATAACATGTTACCAAAAATATATACATAGAAGAACCAAAAGCAAGTCTCAAAATAACAATGCTCTGGATTGTGGAGAAGGAGAGCATAGGAACGGTTTCTGTCCTATCGCAGGTGAATTTAAGCAGGATTAATGAACTAAGACCAGTACCTGGAAAACCACCAGCCCATAACACCACCCTAGTGAAAAATAAATATAGTAAAATGTATTTGTTATACACTTATTTCATGGCAAGTATATTACAAATACCTTTACATATTTATGTACCTCATAAAAATCCCCTGCAATTGTACATTTACCCCCCGTTTAACATTGTAACAGAGGAGGCGTCGTGACAACGGTGTGGGAATCCACTTGCAGGCTTTTATTGTAGAGTGTAGTCAAACAGGCAGGGTCAAACACCAGAGAAACAGTACATACAAGGCAATCCAAAAGAGTAATTCACAAAACAGGCGAAGGTCAGGGCAGGCTGCTAACAATCATAAAACAGATAAATAGTCCAAGATCAAAACACTAGTGATGTTACATATGACACTGAAGCTTCAAAGCGCGTATCGGGTAAGCGGCGCAATTTCTCACAAAGCTCTGTGCCGGAGCGCGTATTGTTTTCAGAGAATAACGTGATCAGCAGAAAATGAAGCCTCACTATCTGTCCAATCATATGCAATTCATATTTGTACATTATTCTTCTATTACATCATATTGATATTCATATTGGCATTTAATGCCACAGTTTCATGGGTAAATTATTTTATCAGAGAGAGAATTTTAACAGACACACACACACACACACACATTATTTTCACAGGCTTATGGCTGCTATATTTTTTATTGACCACCAGATGACGCTATTTTTGATACTCGCGAAGCTTTGAATCTTTTCCTGAAACAGTCAGAGGAAGGCCTCTGTGTTCCATGAGGCTTCATTTGCCCATCACTACAAAACACTCAAAGACAAGGAAGGGAATGAAACTCGGGGAAAACAGGAGAACGGTACAGGCTAAGCAATCACCAGCGAAGTGTTCAAGTGTGTGTGCATATTTTAAAGTCCTTCTAATATGAGACAGCTGTGAACTGATGATGAGATCTAATGAGAGACCGGTGATGCAATAGATGATGAGTCCGGCAAAGGATTATGGGGAATGTAGTCCAGGGTGAATGGCAACAGTCAGGGATGGAGTGCCCACTGGTGGAGCTCATGGGGACTGCAGTTGGTGATCGAGACACACAGACAAGGCTTAAGCTAGTCCCAGACTTTTAAAGTCCTTCTAATGTGAGACAGCTGTGAACTGATGATGAGATCTAATGAGAGACCGGTGATGCAATAGATGATGAGTCCGGCAAAGGATTATGGGGAATGTAGTCCAGGGTGAATGGAAAAAGTCAGGGATGGAGTGCCCACTGGTGGAGCTCATGGGGACTGCAGTTGGTGATCGAGACACACAGACGAGGCTTAAGCTAGTCCCAGACTATAATGCATGTTTGAGCTGTTTCAACTGAAAATATCTTGCTCTGACTTATCTTAAAATATGTCAGTGTCGTTGTTCTGTCAAGATGCACACCTGTAATGTTTTCTTCTAAGGCATTTAAAAAAAAAAAAGTTGCTTAAATATCTTAATTTAACTAAGGTCTAGTCCTGGCTTAAGCTAAGCCCCGTTTGTGAAACCGAGCCTCCACAATGTGCACTTCAGAGTGTCTCAAGTCGAGTCGAATGCACTGTATGACGTACATCATGAAACTTTTTTCAGTTTAAATTTTTATTCGAAAACCCTTTTTTTCGAAAACGTCCAAGTCCGTTCATCTGATTATCATGAAAATCACATCATCTTCAGGCAACGCAGAACAGAAGTCATTGAATTCAGTCAAAATGTTGTTCTCAATCAACACGCAAATGAATTTGACAAAGAGCAAACGAATTTGTCATCAAAACTCATTGCTGTATCATTATGAAACCTTGTGGCTTCTGCTAATAGTTTTTGATTAATTTGGCCTATTGTAAATGATACTGGTCTTTGAGCCATACAGAGAACAATGATGCCAGGTATGGTCAAACTTTTCAATTGGATTCAGATCATCTTCAGAGCATGCCAGCAAAAGTTATGGATTTTGTGTAATAAATGTACCAAACCATGATCACTTAACACATCAGTGGAGTTGATAGATCTGAGGCTGTGTCTCTGCAACCGTTAGGTATATTGAGACCAAACTGTGTGTGTGTCATTGTCACGCCACGCTGACCACACCATATCAATCAGGTCACAGCGCCACCTATTGATCAAAAGTGATAAGCACTTAAATCACATTACCAGGTGATGGTATTTAGGATCTTTTTAACCATTTTGCCAAAAACCTACAAATGTCTTTAATTTCTCATTTTTGCTGATGATGTGCTTGAGCTTGATGACTGCTGTTTGCAGATATATTTAGTAATAATAATAATTGTATTAACGTTTAAATCTATAAAGAGGATAGATAAAAATGAGGATCTTTGCGTAGTCACTGTAAGAGCAGAGCACACATGCTTTCCTGGGTCATCATTTTGGTTTGGCATTCAGTATTTTATGTGATTTTGCATTCTGGGTTTAGGGTCATATATAAGTTTTTTTTTCAGGTATGCACAGACTCAAAGCGAAGACCATCATACTTCACTGAAAAAAGCATGGAGTCTTCTGTAAAATACATCAACAGAAAATTCCCCAACATTGACATCTTTGTGAAACCGAGCCTTAGTATACTAAACTGGTATACTTAAAGTCTGCTAAACTGGAACAACTAATTTTGTACTTAATGCACATTAATTGTGCGAAAGTAGTGCTGAAGTCCAACTAAAAATATACTGAGGAATATTTGACTGTGCTAAAGTGGAGCTATTGCAAGTATACTTCAGGAACACTTTAAATATATTGAGCTGAGCTAAACACACAATCGTCTTCTCTATTGTGACATATAACTGAGTGAAACGGCTTCTTAAACAAGACAAAACGTAGGATGGGACTTGATTATGTCCTTCGGAATTTGACTGGATCACTGTTGTTGGCTGATTGCAATCGTGAGCTCATACACCCCTGGCCGATTTTCCAGGTTTCCATAAATGTCCATGAAAAATAAAACCAATATAGACTGTGGAAAAGCTGCTCCTTCTATGCAGACTCATAAGTTTTCATGTTGTGGCCTTCAGTCGCTCACTATGTCCTGCACTGTGTTTTCTGTTTGTGCAGTTTACTCTCCGGTAGCATTTTGACAGAACAACTTTATTTCATTGAAACACTGAACACTTTTTATTAAAGTTCATTTATTAAGTAACATGGACAACAGAGGATTCTGTGAAACAGTGAAAGCTGATTTTCTCTGTAAAGTCAAGAGTCACTGAGTCTCTTCTCTAGGAGGAAGCAGCAAGCCATGACACACTTTGAGGTTTCTTTGGCCTGTCTTTGCTCAGTAGGAGCAATAAATGCAGAAGAATTCAATCAAACGTGTGAACGTGCTGAGATGTGTCATAAGACATGAGGAGCGGAAGCTCTGTAAGCACCTCCTTCTCTACAGAATGGGTGTCAGTGTTGATCTGTGAAGACCGCAGCGTTCATTGTTTCACTGAGGATCATCTCATCTGGACAGGGATCATGGCCTACCAGTTCAAACTGGCTGAAAAACTGCTCATACTCAATGAACGGGGTCAAGGAGTGCTGATCAGGATGAACCACATTAAAAAAGTGAGAGGAAAATGGATTCTTGTAATATAGAAAATATGAGATCTAATGAGTAATATAGGGATATAGGCAGGGCTGAATTTTGTTTGTTTGAACTCGCAGTGAATATGTGATTGATTCACGACACTGAACTCAGTTAACCGCTTTGTTTGTTGAATTGTTTGCAGAACCAAACGATGATCAAATCTGGAAAAAACAAGTGTTTTTATGTGTTTTTATTATTCAGATGAGATTTGAAAGTACATTATTTTACTCAGAGGGCTTTTAAAAGTATGATTTATGTATTGTATTTTGTCATGTTTTCAGAAGAAAGTATGTTCTGTCTCAGTTTTGTAGAGAAAGAGGAAGTGCAGACAGGAAATGCACAGGACCTGTCAGGCCTCTCTGTAAACCACATCTCTCTCACACACTCGCTGCAAACAGGCTGCACTTCCTGTCTGTCTCAGAAACCAGTGTTACACAGAGTCATGGCAGAGCTCCTACTGGACTAATCCACTGTCTAGACTCATGTGAGCGTTATAGTACAATAAAACGGCACGAGTTTCTGTGTTGGACGTTCCACTTTTCTCTGTGTCTTTGCACTGCCTCTACAGTGACATGTGCTGTGAAGGCCAAACATAATGCAGGCCTCTACACAATCATATTTATCTACGCTTTACATCCACAATGTGCACTTCAGAGTGTCTCAAGTCGAGTCGAATGCACTGTATGACGTACATCATGAAACTTTTTTCAGTTTAAATTTTTATTCGAAAACCCTTTTTTTCGAAAACGTCCAAGTCCGTTCATCTGATTATCATGAAAATCACATCATCTTCAGGCAACGCAGAACAGAAGTCATTGAATTCAGTCAAAATGTTGTTCTCAATCAACACGCAAATGAATTTGACAAAGAGCAAACGAATTTGTCATCAAAACTCATTGCTGTATCATTATGAAACCTTGTGGCTTCTGCTATTAGTTTTTGATTAATTTGGCCTATTGTAAATGATACTGGTCTTTGAGCCATACAGAGAACAATGATGCCAGGTATGGTCAAACTTTTCAATTGGATTCAGATCATCTTCAGAGCATGCCAGCAAAAGTTATGGATTTTGTGTAATAAATGTACCAAACCATGATCACTTAACACATCAGTGGAGTTGATAGATCTGAGGCTGTGTCTCTGCAACCGTTAGGTATATTGAGACCAAACTGTGTGTGTGTCATTGTCACGCCACGCTGACCACACCATATCAATCAGGTCACAGCGCCACCTATTGATCAAAAGTGATAAGCACTTAAATCACATTACCAGGTGATGGTATTTAGGATCTTTTTAACCATTTTGCCAAAAACCTACAAATGTCTTTAATTTCTCATTTTTGCTGATGATGTGCTTGAGCTTGATGACTGCTGTTTGCAGATATATTTAGTAATAATAATAATTGTATTAACGTTTAAATCTATAAAGAGGATAGATAAAAATGAGGATCTTTGCGTAGTCACTATAAGAGAAGAGCACACATGCTTTCCTGGGTCATCATTTTGGTTTGGCATTCAGTATTTTATGTGATTTTGCATTCTGGGTTTAGGGTCATATATACGTTTTTTTTTTCAGGTATGCACAGACTCAAAGCGAAGACCATCATACTTCACTGAAAAAAGCATGGAGTCTTCTGTAAAATACATCAACAGAAAATTCCCCAACATTGACATCAGGGGTGGCAGTGTGAGTATTGACAGATAAAACGTGATTCCTTGTCTTTGTTCTTGGCTCAGATGTTGAATATTTAATTTCCCTTTTCTCAATCAAATGTTTCTGCAGCAACATCTGAGCAGCGTACAGAAGCAGAAGTCAGTTGTGTTGGAGGGCCTGCACAGTTACTACGAGTCCTTCATTGATGTCATGGAGTTCAGGGTAAGAATGTCAGCGGATTAAACTCCAAGGCCAAACATAATGCAGGCCTCTACACAATCATATTTATCTACGCTTTACATCCACAATGTGCACTTCAGAGTGTCTCAAGTCGAGTCGAATGCACTCTATGACGTACATCATGAAACTTTTTTCAGTTTAAATTTTTATTCGAAAACCCTTTTTTTCGAAAACGTCCAAGTCCGTTCATCTGATTATCATGAAAATCACATCATCTTCAGGCAACGCAGAACAGAAGTCATTGAATTCAGTCAAAATGTTGTTCTCAATCAACACGCAAATGAATTTGACAAAGAGCAAACGAATTTGTCATCAAAACTCATTGCTGTATCATTATGAAACCTTGTGGCTTCTGCTATTAGTTTTTGATTAATTTGGCCTATTGTAAATGATACTGGTCTTTGAGCCATACAGAGAACAATGATGCCAGGTATGGTCAAACTTTTCAATTGGATTCAGATCATCTTCAGAGCATGCCAGCAAAAGTTATGGATTTTGTGTAATAAATGTACCAAACCATGATCACTTAACACATCAGTGGAGTTGATAGATCTGAGGCTGTGTCTCTGCAACCGTTAGGTATATTGAGACCAAACTGTGTGTGTGTCATTGTCACGCCACGCTGACCACACCATATCAATCAGGTCACAGCGCCACCTATTGATCAAAAGTGATAAGCACTTAAATCACATTACCAGGTGATGGTATTTAGGATCTTTTTAACCATTTTGCCAAAAACCTACAAATGTCTTTAATTTCTCATTTTTGCTGATGACTGCTATTTGCAGATATATTTAGTAATAATAATAATTGTATTAACGTTTAAATCTATAAAGAGGATAGATAAAAATGAGGATCTTTGCGTAGTCACTGTAAGAGCAGAGCACACATGCTTTCCTGGGTCATCATTTTGGTTTGGCATTCAGTATTTTATGTGATTTTGCATTCTGGGTTTAGGGTCATATATAAGTTTTTTTTTCAGGTATGCACAGACTCAAAGCGAAGACCATCATACTTCACTGAAAAAAGCATGGAGTCTTCTGTAAAATACATCAACAGAAAATTCCCCAACATTGACATCAGGGGTGGCAGTGTGAGTATTGACAGATAAAACGTGATTCCTTGTTGTCTTTGTTCTTGGCTCAGATGTTGAATATTTAATTTCCCTTTTCTCAATCAAATGTTTCTTCAGCAACATCTGAGCAGCGTACAGAAGCAGAAGTCAGTTGTGTTGGAGGGCCTGCACAGTTACTACGAGTCCTTCATTGATGTCATGGAGTTCAGGGTAAGAATGTCAGCGGATTAAACTCCTTGTCAACTTAAGTTCATTTGGTGGCCATCTTGGTAATATTACCACCAGACAGCAGTTTCTAGTTATGCAAGTTCAACTTAATCTACTTGAATTGAGGAAGACAAATCTTTACAACTGTTTGCAAAAATTAGTTAATTAAAAAAAATGTCAATAACATGCCAAATCAGCAATGCAAGCTTCATTTGTAAGTTGCTTTAGATAGGTGTGCAATGTCTTTATTAAACTGAGCACAAAGTGTTCACTACGTCCTTCCACCACTGCTCAGATATGTATATCACTATTTGCATCATTGTGAATAAGATGCTATTTGCTGGTATCTAACATGGTGCAAACAGTGCCACTAGATAGACACTAAAGACAAGTAGCATTGACCAAAAACCAGCGAGGAAAATCTTTCAATATTACTGGAGCTAAACCTAAAAAGGTCCCACTTCAGCAATTTATATGGGCATTTCTGAGGAAAAATGTTGATAAATTTGTTGACAAATTGTTTGAGGCTTATGGCATTGTGCCTTAAAATAAGAGTTCAAAAAGTGTTTTGAAGAGCCACCAGATTCCAAATTTGAACGTTAACTTTCACATTAACTAATGCTTTACTAACAATGCATTTCTAACACAACTTGGTATATGTAATGTGATTGATATATAGTTTCTTTATATTTCCATTATTCTTTAGGACCATGTTTATGAGTTGCTCAACACAATAGATGCCTGCCAGTGCTACTTTGACATAGTAAGTACGACTCTTGAAGAGAGGAAAGAAAATCAAAGGAGAGGCAGAGATGGTTTTACATTAATCTGTGGTCATAATCCATTTCAGGCTGTAAATTTTGACCTCACCAAGAACTACCTGGACCTTATCGTCACCTACGCCTCAGTCATTTACATGCTGTCCCGTATTGATGACAAGAAGGCGATTGTCGGAATGTATAACTGTGCATTTGAGTTCTGCAATGGAAACAGGTAACAGATTTTTAGACACAGTCACGGTGCTTTTGGACAGTTATATGTACAAACACTCAAAACAGTTCATAAGTATTTCACAATTTGGAGGGAAACAAACTCACACAATTTCATAATTTTCCTATTTCGCACATCTGTCTGTCTGTTGAGTCAGCCAACAGTCCTTGGCTCAAAACCATAATACAAATGCAGAAAGATTTATGTGAGGGCAATAGAATGCGTCAGAAATATATAATAATACACTGGATGATTGTGTGTGTGTTATAACTCTATGCAGTGATCCCTCATTCCCTCGACTTGGTCAGATGTTTATTGAGTACGACCATCCCTGGAAAAAACTTTCAGAGGAGTTTGGTCCCCACACCAAGGTCAGTCCCCTATAGATACACCAGACAATTATATATACAAAATAATATTCTTATGATATGCAAAATCAGCGTCGGTCTTATTATATTCTAGTGTTTGGCACGTACCACTCAGTTTCTGTTTGCTGTGCAGCCATATTAAAGAGAAATGAAACCCTAGTGAATATTGGATAGATAAGTCTTCAGACTTAGACAAAAGCTGAAGTGTAGTCATTCTAGTCTGTGAGTGATTCAGTTAATTATGTGGATGTCTGTGTTGTTGGTCAGTCTGTGACAGGGGCTCTCCTCTCGCTGCGCATGGTGTATCCGCGGAGGAATCTGTCTGCTGATCAGTGGCGCAGCGCTCAGCTCTTGTCTCTGCTGGCGTCCCCTGCTGCCATGCTCAGCCCTACGAAGGCGATTGTCGGAATGTATAACTGTGCATTTGAGTTCTGCAATGGAAACAGGTAACAGATTTTTAGACACAGTCACGGTGCTTTTGGACAGTTATATGTACAAACACTCATAACAGTTCATAAGTATTTCACAATTTGGAAGGAAACAAACTCACACAATTTCATAATTTTCCTATTTGGCACATCTGTCTGTCTGTTGAGTCAGCCAACAGTCCTTGGCTCAAAACCATAATACAAATGCAGAAAGATTTATGTGAGGGCAATAGAATGCGTCAGAAATATATAATAATACACTGGATGATTGTGTGTGTGTTATAACTCTATGCAGTGATCCCTCATTCCCTCGACTTGGTCAGATGTTTATTGAGTACGACCATCCCTGGAAAAAACTTTCAGAGGAGTTTGGTCCCCACACCAAGGTCAGTCCCCTATAGATACACCAGACAATTATATATACAAAATAATATTCTTATGATATGCAAAATCAGCGTCGGTCTTATTATATTCTAGTGTTTGGCACGTACCACTCAGTTTCTGTTTGCTGTGCAGCCATATTAAAGAGAAATGAAACCCTAGTGAATATTGGATAGATAAGTCTTCAGACTTAGACAAAAGCTGAAGTGTAGTCATTCTAGTCTGTGAGTGATTCAGTTAATTATGTGAATGTCTGTGTTGTTGGTCAGTCTGTGACAGGGGCTCTCCTCTCGCTACGCATGGTGTATCCACGGAGGAATCTGTCTGCTGATCAGTGGCGCAGCGCTCAGCTCTTGTCTCTGCTGGCGTCCCCTGCTGCCATGCTCAGCCCTACATGCTGTGACACCGTACGTACACCAGTTATCAGTTCAGCTGTGTGGCTGTTTGATTATACAATGCCACTGCAGTCCATGATGTATCAGTATACCGTTTGTGCACTAACACTGAGCATTGCTTCTAGATGGCTTGTGAGTATCTGTCCATGGAGGTGATGGAGCGCTGGATCCTCAGTGAGTATCTGTTAAATACGAGGAGACATGCGCTTTCAGTACAATCTTTACCTAAGATCACGCTACACTAGCTGTCAGGCCGAGAGAGAGAGGGAGGTGAAGTTAGATGGAAATGAAAATGAATTATTGTGCAGATGACTCACCAGAAGAATGCAGTCTCTCATTTAGAATAATATGTATTAATTAGAGTAAGGTTAAGAACTAATTCATGTGCAAACATGAATCTGGTGGAAATGCTTTGTGGGACGTTTTTAAGGACAAATCATCCACACGTTTATTAGTGAATGTGACCCTGGACCACAAAACCAGTCATAAGGGTCAATTTTTTGAAATTTCGAAAAAAATGTCTAGATTTATACATAATCTGAAAGTTGAATAAATGAGCTTTCCATTGATAGGACAAGGATAGGATTTGTTAAGATAGGACACTATTTGGCTCAGATACAACTATTTGAAATTCTGAGGGTGCAAAAAAATCAAAATATTGAGAAAATCATCTTTAAAGTTGTCCAAATGAAGTTCTTAGCAATGCATATTACTAATCAAAAATTACGTTTTGATATATTTACGGTAAGAAATTTACAAAATATCTTCATGGAACATGATCTTTATTTAATATCCTAATGATTTTTGGCATAAAAGAAAAATTTATAATTTTGACCCATACAATGTATTGTTGGCTATTGCTACAAATATACCCCAGCGACTTAACACTGCTTTTGTGCTCCAGGGTCACATTTGATGGTTGATATTTTAATGATCTTTTATAGACCTCTGAATGATTCTTCATTCTGACTCTTTCTCTGAATTAAATTGATTTGTTTACGTCAGTGAAACTCTACTCCCCACAGGAGACAATCACAACAGAGAAATGGAAATCTGACAATGTTAATGCGTTAATGAAAAACCATTTTAATGATAATATGAGCCTCAAAACTGTAATACTGTAGTAGATTGAGTTTTGTGGATCTCAGTGTCCCCAAATATCTGTAAATGACCTGCTGGTTATAAACTTGGATGTAACCAAATGGATGCTTCCATTAATAGACGCCCCAGATGAGGTGCATAGAGAGTTATTTTCCTAATGTTCATGTGAATGAATGTATGAACGAAAGACAGTACATTTGCACTGATATGCTGTTATCTTGTGGTTGTCAGTTGGCTTCCTGTTGTGCCATAGCAGTCTAAACGCCAATGCAGACTCTCAGAATCTGTGGAAGATGGCCCTGCGTAACGGCCTGTACCTCACAGTCATCAGAGACGAGATTCTCAACATACACAAGCTCTCCGAGGACTTCTTCGACAGTCTCAAAGGGTAACACGTGCATGCAGTACACACATGTATCAACAGCCTGACATCAAGATTTTGATGTATCACAGAATTATTTCTTATAATGTACACAGTTTATCTTCACTGTTGTTTACAGGTACAGTAAGCGCATTCCCGACATCAAAGAATGTAAAGAGTATGTCATCATTAACTGGTGAGCATCTTAAATATTTCAAATATCCCAAATGGGCATCGAGCTTTTGTCAGACTCCAGACTGCAGACTAAATGTTCACCCATCTCACGGGTTTTCCAGCGGGGCATTGCGGAGAGAGAAGCGCAACTTCCTGAGAAATGCTCTGAAGGAACTTACCAAAGTTTTGGAGGATGAACCTGCTTTGCTTGGACCCAAGGTTTCAACTGTTCTTTTACTTTACTATTACTATTATTATTGATAGTCGTATTCATTTTTAATTTTTTGCTATATTAAATGCGAATAAATTGTAATAATGTAGAGTGGTAAGACATCTCTGAGGCATGAACTGTACGGTATATGCGCCCGCTCTAGGCTTTGTTTGTGTTCATGGCGCTGTCGTTCTCCCGAGATGAAGTGCTCTGGCTTGTGCGTCATGCTGAGAACATCCCCAAAACCAAGACCCCGGAGGACTACGCAGACTCGTAAGTTTCACTGAGCTACAGGACGTGAGCATTCAACACACCTGTAACATACTGTATGTGACCTTCTCCATTAGTTTCAATCACTATTCACCTCATTTTAATTTACCAACAAACCTAACATTTTATGCAACACGTTTTGTTTTTGAAAAAAAATGTTTCTGATCATCATGGAAATATCAGAAAAGGACAGCAGAGTGACAGACTGAACATTAGACGTTAATTCTAAGATCTTTACATCATGATCTGAGTGTTATTAAGGGTTATTATGTATCAGTACTGTGTCAGTATTTGAGATTCAGTATTTAATTAAAACACAATCAATTTCTTTTCTTTTTAAAGTAGTCAAAAGTGCCTCTAACTGAAGAATTACATTTGTATATTATGTTTGCTATGAAGGCTGCTATTACATTTTTGAAAATTAAAAGTGAAGCTCTGGTGACTTTGTAAACTTGGAAAGACTATTATGGTAATATTTACTTTCGGGTAACACTTTAGAATAGGGAACACTTATTCACTCTTAACTATGACTTTTCCCTCAAAAAAATCCTAATTTGCTGCTTATTAATAGTTAGTAAGGTAGTTGTTAAATTTAGGTATAGGGTAGGATTAGGGATGTAGAATAAGGTCATGTAGAATATACTGTATGTGCTTAATTAGTACTAATAAATGGCTAATATTCTAGTAATATGCATGCTAATATGCAACTAGTTAAGAGACCCTAAAATAAAGTGTTACCCACTTTCCTAGATTGTTGTGTGATTTGCACACACACACATGAACCTTTCATATGTTCACATGCTCAATGTTTTTGTTGTACAGACAGATGGCAGAGCTCCTCTACTACATGGAAAAGCTGCGCACTCTATTGGCTCAACACAGATATGTTATACAACGCTACCATCTGCAGTACTTGTCACAGTATGATGCTCTAGCGCTGAACGACACCATTCAGGTACTCCGGCACACGGCACTGCTCACTGAAGCGCATTTCTATAAGAAGGTTTGCAGTTGTGCTTCATTTTCTGTCTTCTCATTTCAGGGTATGTACGTCTGTCCGGAGGAAGAATCCGTTCTTATGTCGTCGTTTGTCTCAACTCTGTCCGCACTGAGTCTCAAGCACTGTGAGTTGTCTTTCAGTTTTCTCTTCACAGGCTGTGTACTCTGTGCATACTCGCACAGGTAGCAGCAGTACAGTGTTTTTAGATAGTGTTGTGACTGCTTAATTGGGCTGGATTTGTTTGGGATTGTAAACTTTGAAATTAGAGTTTGTTCTACTAGCTTTGTGCGACTGACCAACTGGTCAAAAGACAAACTTGAAGGCAAAAGTTTTTTTAATTTTTTTATATTAATAATATTGTGGGTTTGTTTGTATGTGTGGTTTAAGGCAGTGGTTCCCAACCCTAGTCCTGGAGGCACCCCAACACTGCACATTTTGCATGTCTCCTTTCTCTGACATACCCAATTTCAGGTCTTGAAGTCTCTACTAATGAGCTGATGACCTGAATCAGGTGTGTTTGATTAAGGAGACATGCAAAATGTGCAGTGTTGGGGTGCCTCCAGGACCAGGGTTGGGAACCACTGGGTTAAGGTACACTTCATATTTGAGAAATAGGTATGACATGATTTAAGTAAATATTGTTCAACTGCCATCTTTCAGCATCTTTGATAAAATGTGTAGCAGGAATTCAAATCCAATTGTTACATACAGATTTCTTTTCTTAATATTCGTTGGTGGTCTTTTTTATACAGTGGATGCAGGAGAAGAGTTTGATCTGAAACCATTCAGACTGGACTGGTTAAGATTGCAGGTACGGCTTAAGCAAAACTGAATTATTTTGAAGCCTAAATAAGAAAAGAAAATAGGCCAAAATAGGAAGATCTTTGGACACACACTTTCATTCATTTACTGTGGTTGAAGTTGACGTTTCGTTGAAATGAAAATATGAGGGGAACTCACATATTTATACAGCAGGAACATGCTTACCTCACTGCCATTTTTCGGCTTCCCTCCACTTTTTTAAAACATATGTATCGTTAATACTAAATCTTGAACCATATTTCTTTATTCAATGTATAGCACACCAAATTGACCTATGTCACCCACTGGGAAATCACAGCACTAGTTCTTAACCAAGCTAGAACAATGTTCCAGATTGGAGTTTGTGGTTTTGTGTTTCTTTATTATTATTATTAGTAGTAGTAGTAGTATCATTATTATTATTTTAGCAATTTATTTAGTCATTTTACTTTAAAACTTAGTCATTCTTTCAATTTTACACATAATTTCTAGCATAGACTACACAGATGTATTCACTATGTTTGTTTTCATTGTTTTCGTCAATCTGGACACTTGGAGGACAACATTGGGTAGTTTTTGTGTAAGAATGTCTGCCAAAGGAAGATCTTTGGACACACACTTTCATTCATTTACTGTGGTTGAAGTTGACGTTTCGTTGAAATGAAAATATGAGGGGAACTCACATATTTATACAGCAGGAACATGCTTACCTCACTGCCATTTTTCGGCTTCCCTCCACTTTTTTAAAACATATGTATCGTTAATACTAAATCTTGAACCATATTTCTTTATTCAATGTATAGCACACCAAATTGACCTATGTCACCCACTGGGAAATCACAGCACTAGTTCTTAACCAAGCTAGAACAATGTTCCAGATTGGAGTTTGTGGTTTTGTGTTTCTTTATTATTATTATTAGTAGTAGTAGTAGTATCATTATTATTATTTTAGCAATTTATTTAGTCATTTTACTTTAAAACTTAGTCATTCTTTCAATTTTACACATAATTTCTAGCATAGACTACACAGATGTATTCACTATGTTTGTTTTCATTGTTTTCGTCAATCTGGACACTTGGAGGACAACATTGGGTAGGATGGAATAACGAGTTGTTGTTGTTGTTTTCAGTAAAATAAGAAAATTCCATCTTAATTGATTATTTAAAAAAAAGAAAATCGGCCAGTTAATCAATTAGCAAAATAATCTTTACTTGCAGCCACATTTTGTGTAAGAATGTCTGCCAATTGAATACATGCATTTAGTACACACACTCAAGACACTCAATCTCAATAATCCATCAAAAGTTACGGCAACCATTCCAGACCTGATGACCCAATGTGTTTGCATTCTTCAGGTGTACACCAGTGCTGGTAAAGCTGCTCTGGCACTGAAGGACTACCCTGATCTTGCCAAGGTCATGAACATGGCCCAGTTTCACACTAGGATGATGGACAATATGAATGAACTCCTCTGTGAGACGGCTGATCTCTCTATTCTCTGGTGAGTCACTTCTGAGTGATTGAGTGAAGCTGTGACATCAATACAGATGCACATTTATGTTTTGTGGTGTAAGGGTCATCCACGAATGTTAAGAATGAATATGACAATAAAAAATAGAAATTCTGCGATTTCTTTTTTTGCTGATTTTTTTTTTTTTTGTATAAAGACATTATCCTGGCTGCTTTTTACCATATAATAAAAGTGAATAAGGACTTTCAATCTCAAAAATGACAAAAAAGCACATCAAATTATCATAACAGTTTCCACATGATTCACGCTCTCCATTTCGAGTCTTCTAAAATCATGTGATAGGCTTGTGTGACATCTATTTGGTTTTTCACAGATAATCTTCCCCTCTGCAGAAGCTTTGAAATAGAGTACACAAGTTGTATTAACTACACAAATGCCACATCGACACCATTTGATGTCATTGACCCCAAACTGTGTTAGTTCTTGCATGTTTCCATTGATGTCGATGACGTTTCGGAGCTATACGATTCAAAAGCTAATCAGAGGAGGAGATTTGGACTAATGGTTTGTCACACAGAAGATCATATTGAGACCATGAATACAGAGTCCTCAGTCCTTTATTATGATGAAATGTGTGGCCAGGATATTAATCAAAAATGCACCTTGTTGAAGTTTGCATCTTCTGTGAGTCTTAAAAAATGTAAATGGACAAGAGATGCATACAGCTTAGAGATCCAGACATTTCTTTTGAGTTGACGTGCCCTGTAATGTTTCAGTTTCCACGCGCGTGTGTTTGAGAAGCTGTTCTCTCAGAGCAGTGAGGATGTGTCCATGCAGCGCTACCTCACGGCTTTCCCAGTCATCTGTTCACACTTCAGTCAGTGTCTCCATCCGCTCTGTCCAGAGGAGGTCAGTACTGTTCGCCTGGCTCGCCAATGGTTTAGATTTCTCTAATAAGCATATAAGTAAGCTTGACCAGAGTTCTTGTGGGGAGAAGAATTTATTGACGGTAGTAGTGTAGCACAGTTCTTCAGCAGCGATGCTAGCTTGTCTGTCTTCAGATAATCTTAGCTCAGAGTTTTGTCAAACAACAGATACTATACTGACATCCCACTCTAGATCCTGCAAGTTATTTGGCCATATGAGTCGCCTGAGAGTCAGTCAAATGCATCTGACTAAAGATAACTGAAATACATATACTCCTGTAATGTTTCAGTTTCCACGCGCGTGTGTTTGAGAAGCTGTTCTCTCAGAGCAGTGAGGATGTGTCCATGCAGCGCTACCTCACGGCTTTCCCAGTCATCTGTTCACACTTCAGTCAGTGTCTCCATCCGATCTGTCCAGAGGAGGTCAGTACTGTTCGCCTGGCTCGCCAATGTTTTAGATTTCTCTAATAAGTATATAAGTAAGCTTCACCAGAGTTCTTGTGGGGAGAAGAATATATTTACGGTAGTAGTGTAGCACAGTTCTTCAGCAGCGATGCTAGCTTGTCTGTCTTCAGATAATCTTAGCTCAGAGTTTTGTCAAACAACAGATACTATACTGACATCCCACTCTAGATCCTGCAAGTTATTTGGCCATATGAGTCGCCTGAGAGTCAGTCAAATGCATCTGACTAAAGATAACTGAAATACATATACTTAACCAGCATATCATTCATAATGCCAGTACTGGGTCGATTTCCTAGTTATCGTGACCACAGTTTTCTGTCTATTATTGCCCTCAGACTGTCCAGGTGTCCATCTGCACCAAGCATCTTTAATTCTGGACTTTGTGTTAAGAACCTAAAGGTCCATTAAAATGTGTTGTCTTGTATCTCGCAGCTGATTTGTTGAATAGCAAGGATTTTTGTTCCAGGATCATCTAGATAGTGCATGCCATATTTAGTTCTAATGGCCAAAAAGTGGGGTTTTAAGTAAATTCTACCATAGAAAGTAAAAACTGAAACACTATTTGCGCTACTACTAAGTGATGTTCTGTCATATGTTTTTTGTTAAATGCATGTGTGCGCGTGGACTAGACTGAGGAAATAGAGAATCAGCTGATTTGTTGAATAGCAAGGATTTTTGTTCCAGGATCATCTAGATAGTGCATGCCATATTTAGTTCTAATGGCCAAAAAGTGGGGTTTTAAGTAAATTCTACCATAGAAAGTAAAAACTGAAACACTATTTGCTACTACTAAGTGATGTTCTGTCATGTGTTTTTTGTTAAATGCATGTGTGCGCGTGGACTAGACTGAGGAAATAGAGAATCAAAGCTTGAAGCTGTGTGTGAGCTTTCTGGAGGAGATTTCCCGACAGACGTGTACGGTTGTGCTGGAGATATGTGCTGAACAGTGTAACCTACATGAGAAGGTACATTACACTGTTACTTCAAACACAGTGAACTAGATGATTCAGTGTGACGTAAAGGCATGAGGATCAACCAACATAAAACGTACATTTTTAAAACTGTGTTTTAGTTACTGCCCAAATACAGTGCTGAGACCATCAGTACAGCACGCAACAAAAAACTGAAGAAGTCATTACCAAAGAAAGGAGACGTGCCTAAAGTGAAACCAGGGGCAGAAAGCCTCAGGAAGGACAGAGCCATCGTCACAAAGTACGTGACATCTCATAGCATCATTATAGCTAGCTGTAGATATGAGATCTCACTGGCTCTCTTATGACAGCGGCCATACCTGGGACATTTTGGCTTCACTTTTTTTTTATAGTGGAAGGAAGTGGAGACGTGTCATACATCTTTATTTTTGCAGTCTATGGTTCACAAATGAAAACAAGTGAAAAGCAGTGTGGGCAGACACAAAAACACTTTCCGTTTGAATGGCTGCTTCACAAGACACAGCTGAATTTTCTCAAAATTACCTTCCAAATAGTAGCATTTTGCTTCAGTTGTTTGTCGATGCATATCACCTTCATCCAGTGCTGTTTGTTCTCTGCGTTCTTAAGTGTCTTGATACTGTCTGTTTTACTGACTGAAAAAACGCTTCAGATGAATCAGAGAGAGTGGTCCAAAAGAATAATTAATTCACAAATGATTTGTATCGCTGGTTCGGTAGAAAGAAAAAGTAATAACAGATTAAATATTAGCAGTAAAGGTAGGTTGAACTACTAAAAAAACTAAACTGAAAAAAAAAAAAAAAAAGCTAAATACTTAAACCACCCATGACCAATCACTATTAACATGTGCTGTTCTTCTTCCACTCTCTTCGGAACTCTTCTCTCACACAAACGTCTCCTCTGTATTAACGCTCCCTTAAAAAAATTTACGCAATAACCAGACATGGCAAAACTCTACCAGAAATACAAATATAAGAGAATTGCTATTACCAATATCCTACAAAATTAAAAAGCAGGAAATGTAATTTATAATAATTCAATATAAATCATTGAAATATTATTGAATAAACACATTGAATTATAATAATTCAACAAATTAAATTAGTTTTATCAATTTAATTTGGTAACACTTTATTTCGATAGTCCACTTTAGACACAAATTCGTCTGGTCCAAGAACTACATGGAAATGACAGAACCTGAACGCATGACCTTAGAGACCAAGGGTAACAAGTAAGTATCTATGGGCGAATGAGTTTTGTTAAATTACTAATTATCAAATTTAAAATTATGGCTTAAAGGGTTAGTCGAACCAAAAATGAAAATGTTGTTCCAAACCCATAAGACGTTTATTCATCAGAAAATACTTTTTAAAGGAATAGTTCACCCAAAAATGAAAATTTGCTGATACTTTACTCCCCCTCAGGCCATCCAAGATGTACAGTCATGTGAAAAAGAAAGGGCACCCTATTGAATTCCCTGGCTTTCCATATCAGGACGTAATAAAATAATAAAAATCTGGTCCTTAGCAGGTCTTAAAATCTGGAAAATAAAACTTCAGATGAACAACAACACATGACATATCACACCGTGTCATTATTTATGTAACAAAAACTAGGCCAAAATGGAAAAGCCATGGGTGACAGATCCACTTTTAGATCATGGCTCAAATATGCTTGCTTGACTTCTGTTTGTTAATAGACTTTTAATGGATGGACAACGAGATAATATTAATAATATCTTCATTTTTGTTTTAAAGATGAGGGATTGAAAAGACATGAGTTTGAGTAAATGTTTTGTCTTTTTGTTTTTGGTTCAAATGTCCCTTCAAACCAACTTGTGTACCTTCTGATCAATCAGTCTTGGGTAGAACATTTAAAAAATATATTATTTATTAATGTAGCAAACAATTTCAGCACATTTCCAGAGCTATAACTACAAAAAAAAAAAAGGGGGTTACACTTTATTTTGATAGTCCACTTTAGACATTCTATTAACAGTAAGTAACTTTGCAACTACATGTCAACTAGCAGTTAGTCGAGTATTAGTAGACTGTCTGCTTAACACTTAAGACTATCTTCTAACACTTTCTTTGTCAACTTATTCTACTAACCCTAAACCTACCCTAACAGTCTACTCTGAGAGTTAGTAGACATGTAGTTGCAAATGAATGAGAATTAGTTGACATGTAGTTGACATGTAGTTACAAAGTTACTTATAGTTAATAGAATGTCTAAAGTGGACTATCGAAATAAAGTGTAACCTTTAATTTTATTTATTTTTTCATCAAAATGTATTCATGCTTTTTAAGCTAGGTGTAACGTTGGGAGGCGTGGTGACGGATTTGGATCCAAATGCGGGCTTTATTCAGAAGTGTGGTCAAAACAGGCAGGGTCAAACAACAGCAAACAGGTACAATCCAGGATGAGACAAAAGAGTAATCCAATAAACAGGTGAAGATCAGGGCAGGCAGCAAACAATCAGAAATCAGAAACAGTCCAGGGTCAAAAACAAGGCAAGGCAAGAAGGAACAAGGACAACACGGGAACGCTACAGGCTAGACAATACTCAGCAATGTGTGTGAGTGTGAGTTAGGGATGGCTGATGCGAAACTGACGTTTCGACACGGTGTCGAGATCCCGAAGCGCAGATGTTTCGAAACACTGCTCCGAAGTGTGATTCGAAACACCCATGTCACGTGACTAAGGCGAATCAAAGCATCGGTGCGTTTCACAAGTGTTTCGAGACCCGAATCTGCTTTTGATCGAAAGGGTCGGGAACAAACCACACAATCGCACATCTGTCTTAACCTAACTCCCGCAAAGTATAAAAGTGGAGTTAATGCAGCAGAACAATTAATATATTTACATAAAAATCTTTATATGTAAAAAAAAATGCCAGGCATTGTGGCTTGATGTCTTTTATTAATGTTATTTTTTTCATGACCAAAATAACATATTCACAAAGAGTTCATTCAGTTGTCAGAGAGATGTTACAACACATTACAAGAACAGAACAATAAAAACACAACTTTCAAATATTTATTATAATTATATACATGCTTCACCTGGGATTCAAACCTAAAGTGACAGGTTCTGACAACATGCCAGTTGTGCACACTAACCACTCCCCCAACCCACATGCTGTTTTAGAGCAGTACTTGAAAATGACCATGACACTAGGGGATGTTTTACTCATACATAATTCTATTCTTCTCTTATTCCTCTGTGGACTTGTACTTTAATTAAAAGTTGATTTATCCAATGTTTTTCATCAGGCTGTGAGAATGTTTTGAAGAGAATGACGATTATTGGTGTGATTCTGTCATTTCGCGCTATGGTCCAAGAAGCTCTTGCGGAGGTGAATGTCTCTATTTATGTAAATGAATGTTGAATCAGAACACAATAGATCAAGTGTTTTCTACATTCATATTCATTACAATAATATCCGATATAATGTTGATATTAAATGTAAAAAAAAAACTGTAGTTATATATGTCAAGCTATACATAAAGCTTATACATAAATATTTTCAAGCTTTAAAAAATACACTAATCCCCTCTGTATTTGTCATGGTATGTGTACATCTTATGGTATATACAGTACATCAAGATAACTGCATTATAGTTTTTACATGTTATAATGTACTGCCGGGTTTATGAGTGAGCAAGGGACGTAAGTCTACTGATCATTTCCATCTGTAGATCATGGACAGACACTGCCCATTTCTAACGAGACCCATCAAATGCCTAAAGGACTTCATCTACCCTGAAGGTGACATCAAGGTAAATCACTGAGTCGCTGCTACTGGAATAACATTTCTTCAGTTAGCTTGCATCTGTCTTTACATGTATCTGTCATTACCTGTTGTTTTTTTCACAACCACACGTCATCATAAGAAATACCTCATCTTTTGGATTGTCTTTCCATCTCTGATTATGTGTAGGTCACACTCAGTGTATATGAAATGGCTTCAGCAGCTGGTTTGCCTTGTGAGATCGACCCTACGCTGGTTTCAGCGATAGCAAACATGCAGACAGGTGAAGTCCCATATAGAAGTTTGTCTGTCTGAAACAATGTCTCAAGTTCATCTCATTTTTTTAATACATTATTCATTATTCTCCTCGGCAGACAACTCGTCCATTGAGGAGGAGTTCAAAATTACGTGCCTGCTGCTGGTTTATATAGCCGTGTCTTTACCCACCCTGTGCCTGGATCCAAACTCTTTCTACCGCCGAGAACATGGAGGTAACATTGGGCAGAAGAGCAGGAGTTGCATAAGAGGCAATGCAAATGCAGTCTTGACAACAAGCTGACGAAAACAACTAGTACATGGAGCAGATGATGACTGAATAAAGATAAACTCCAGAACATCTTCACTTGCTCTGCTGGAACCAAAAGCCTATAAATAAAACAGACCATAAATAAAAGCCTAATACTTAGAGTAAATGCAAATCTTTGAAGATGTATTTTGCTAAACTCTTTCTGAAACTCAAATGAACTTGACTTGTTCTTCAACAGGTCATCAAAACAACATTCATTGCTTAGCCACTGCAGTTAACCATCTTGCTGCAGCTATGTTCACTGTCCAGAGAAAAAATATCCAGACACAGCTTCAAGAATTCCTGAAGGTAAACGAATAACCACTGAATACACGGCAAGAATTCAGTATTTTTCATTCCATACATTGACATTCATAAATCCATAGCAAACATTTACTGAAAATCTTGGTAACGCTTCACAATTAGGTTCCATTTGTTAACATTAGTTAACATTAACTATATTTGTTAACATGAACTAACAATGAAAATTGTTTTAAAGTATTTATTAATCAAAAAATTTTAAAAATCAAAAGTTGTTAATATTATAATTAGTATTATTAATATTAGGACCTGAGCTAACATGAACTAACATTAAATACATTTGTATTTTTATTAACTAATCTTAACAAAGACTAGTAAATACTGTGACAAATATATTGCTAATTGTAGTTAGTGTTAGTTAATGCACTAATCATTAACTAATCAGATCTTATTGTAAAGTCTTATTAAAATCTTTTATCTAACATGTCCGATTATGCTCATCCTGTAGGTGGCATCATCTATCTTACTGCAATTAGGTCAGAATGTGGAGCGAATGGAAATAAAGAACAGAGATTCCGTTTATCTCATTCTACACATGGTAATAAACCTATGGCGAGTAATTGAATTATTATCATTTAAAAAATGGTTTATTATACAAATCTTACTTTTGTATTCTTTATGTTGTAGATAGTGGAGCAGTCACCGTTCCTGAGTCAAGACATGCTGGAAATGTGTTTTCCATATGTACTCCTCCGAAACGCTTACAGAGAGGTGCACAAGACTTTCATCCACACTATGGGCTAAACTTATGAGGATGTAAAATCACGACTTTGTTTTTGTACGTATCATAGTTTAACAATTTAAATTGATATTCAGCTGGTTTAATTTTTATTGTGAATACTTGTCTAAGTAGATTCCAGTGGACTCTGGTGAAATTAGGGTCGAAATAAAGTGTTACCGAAAATAACAATATATAGAAAGGTGTTAGCAGTATACAGCTGCATATAATACTTATTTAAGTTTTAACCTTGTTAACACGATGATTAATAACAGAAAGTTGTATTTTCATGTAGGTCATTCTCACGAGCTGTTGCATTATACAAATTCACTGATAACCATAATTTGCACATTTTTAAAAATCTTCTTTATTGCTCCAGAATATAAGTAGAAATTGCAGTGCCTAGCAGAAGCATCTAAACCAGTATATAATAATAACCTGCTAGCATACTAAAATAGTTTCTAGACAATGACTGTGCTGTACATTGCACAATTGTATTTTTTTTTTAATGCATTTAAATTGTAAAGCTTTTTCTAGAAATGATCAAAAATTTGATTTATAAAGTGAAAATGTTATCGAATAAAAAAAAAATCTTTCATTAGTGATATGTTTGTGTGTGTTTTGCTATGTTCACGTCTACTAGTGTGTTGGTTTATATGAACATATTTTAAAGAATATTTGGAAATAATACAATGGATACAAAGAATATTTCGTAGAACACAAAAACAAAAGCAAGCATGCTCTTGTAAACATTTCCTTGACGATTTCTTTAGCGCCATGTTCCGTCATGCCTTTATTAAAATCTCTGCCTCCTCCCTCTTTCTGCTTCCTCTATCCAGACTTTTATTCTTTCACACCTGCCCCACAATCAAGGACTCCATAAATGCTCACACTTCATTCAACCTATTTGTCTAGTCTCAACAATGGCTGTTTAGATTGCACTGCTCTTCCTTGGAGTTTCTTCTTTATCTTCCTTCTTTCCACTTCCTGTGATTATCAAACTTTCACTCCTGTTTCATTTGGAACTTCAACACCATTGTTGCTTCCCCAATGTCTCTCTTCAAAAATAAGCCCAAAATTGTTCCATGGTCTCTGGAAGCTTCCAAGGCCTTCTAGCTGCTCATTCAAGCCTTGCCTAGTGCATGCATGCTCAGTTATCCAAATGTCCAACACCCCTTCATCAAAAAAAGTCTACACTTCCACCACCAGCATCAGGGCTGTATTGTCTCAACTGTAGGGCACATCTATTAACCTCTAAATTAAGTGGATGAATCCTAGCCAGACCCAGTGGGCTTTATTCTTCACCAGATTCTCCTTCATTGTCACTTATCATCCTGGACTTTAGAGTGGAGCTCTCTGTCTCCACTCATTAATCCAGCTGTTCTCCTTTCACCATTATCAACCCCATCCATACCCCTTTTCCACCAGCAGGAACCGGGTGCTGATTCAGAGCTAGTGCTATAGCCGGTTCGGAGTTGGTTCGACTTGCGAGTCCATTAAGAACCGGTTTGCTTTTCCACGGACTAGAGAGCCACCACAGAGCCAGGTCTTACGTCACCGAATACGTCTAATTTTTCCCAGCAACACTAGCACGGAAGCACCAAACACACCATCAACAATGGTGGGCGTTGCGTTGATATTGATGTTGGCTTTGCGAACCTACATCAGCTTTCAAACCCGGTGAATCCAATGTGTTCGTGCAGCTGGCCGTAGTTTGTATAGACGGAGATTTCAAGCGAGAATAACGGTAAGTAACCAGAGGACCAGATTGCAAGAAAACAGCTTGTTTCCTCCTCGGACCACTGCTGTTTTTGCTTAATTGCGTCCATCTTGTTTAGCTGCTATTTCAAATATGGCGGTCAAAAGTTTCTGTTCATCTTGTTGGTCACGGTAACCCCGCCCCCAGCCCCTGACGCAAGCGGTTCTTCTTTCTAGCCCAGCAATGTTTTGGTGCTACCTACGAACCGCTTTTCCTGGTTCGGAGCTGGTGCTTTGGGTGTCGAAAGACAAAGAACCGGTTTGAAACTAGGCTCTGGCTCCGAACCAGCACTCGAACTGCCTTGGTGGAAAAGGGGTACCAGTGGCCCCTGGGATGATCAAATAGCTAATGCCACCATCACTTATCCTGCTCAAGGAGGGTCAAGGAAGCCCCATAAAGCTGAAGGGATGACAGACCATGGTAGAGCCGAGGGATTGTAGATTTGAGGCAGAGTCTTTGGCCCAGAATACCGAGGTGAAGGTGGATGATCTGAGGGCCTAGTCAGAGCTGGGAATTGGGAGCATCAGGTGGAACCAGGGAGTTGGGCAGAGCCAGCAGGGAAGGAAGAGCCGAAGAGCTGGATGGCACCAGTGAAGACAGCAGATGAAGGAGCCAGAAGGTTGGATGGGACCAGCAGAGGAGGAAGTTCCAAGGAAGTGCTCAGGAGCAGAGTGTTCAAAAGACTGGACAGAACCAACCAGATGTTACGTCCAAGGACATGTATAAGTGTGAGTGTCTCTTTTGGTACATGTGCTCTGTTTTGTTTTGGTTTTCTCTCTCCCTCTCTCAAACTCTGATAAGGACTAACAGGTGGAGTTCAATTGACTGATGATTCCGCTGATGACTGTACTATCCTGATTGGTTCACTAGTGGAATGGTTTGGAGTTAAATGGCAGAGCTGAGATTATGATTTAAAAATGTACTATTTGAGGAAATATTGATTAATTAATCTTTTTAACTGTGTAGATGGCGGTGGGGGTATATAACCACTACTATGTTTTTGTAAAAATCTCCTATGTAAGAAGAAAACAGTGACTCAGGAAAAGTATTAAAGAAAAAGAAAAAGAAAAAATGGCTGAACAACCACAATATGGCAGTATAACTAATAAAATAATTTAAACATTATTTCAAAACAAGCAAGTCCACATTAGCAGGGCTTAAAGTTCTCCGGCACCGTGCCGGATCTCCGGCGTGCTGTGTTTGGCTGCAGGGAAAAAAAGATAGTCGTCCTACATTTAAAAACACTTGTTGATATCACGTTCGAGTT